TGGGCTTTGTTCTGTCCGTTCCCTCTGCTTCGGCTTGCGCAAAATCTCGGCGCGGGGCGCGGCGGCCTCCAGGAAGCGCCGCCGTTTTCTTTCCGCGAATTTGGCGGCAGACCGGCTTCTGTTTTGGGGGCGCCTGGGTGTTTTTGGGTTTGCCGCGGTGTCGGCCGACTTCGCTCGGTGTCCCGCGGGGCGGGGCGAAAGTTCCGGGGCTGAAGGGGACCTGTCGGGTTTTTTACGCCGGGGCGCAATGGGTGTGGCAGGGACGTTTTGCTGTTGTACGGTTCGTTGCGGGTAGTTTTTTTTTTGGTGGTTCATGGTCAAAAATGTAATCGTGTCGCTTGAATGTTGGGGTTTCTTCCGCCTTATTTACATGGGGTGCCGCAAGCCGAAATGCTATGTTGCGTTGCTGGTGTATATATTGTTTGGCCTTTGCGGGCCTGGCGCTGTTCCGCCATGTTGAGAGTTTATGGCGGAGTTTGGTTTGCAGGGACTGCTGGTGCCGTCTCTCTTGAGGATGTCCATCTTATCCCCGTTTGGTGGGTGCGTGGTGCTTTTAAAGGTTCTCTGGAGGAGAGCGTTTTGGTGTTTCCACCCTCGGATATGCCGTGGCTTATCTTTTTTTTTTGGCATCTCCACGTTAGAGTTTACGTGGATTGGGTGAGCAGGTTGTGTGACACACAATAGGTTTTTTGTCCTTCAGTGTTGTCGCGTTTTCTCTCGGAAGGTTTCCTTTGACATGACTCGTTCTTACACTCCAAACTTTTTTGGTTGGCTTTAGAGAGGCACCGTGTCTTTTTAATAGTATTTAACTTCGCATTGTCTTGCCGGCTGAATTTTTGGGAGCACTTCCTTTTCGTTCTGAGATTTGCCACACGACTTTGTCCGGATGACTCGCACGGAAACTATTATAACTCCATTTTAGTTTTTTTTTGTTTTATTGTTTCTTGACTAGACTGTTTTTCCCTGTTTGCCTACGGCTTTTCTACAATCTTTTTCTTTTCTTAAAAATCTTTGCTTTAAAAAAAATCCCTTGTTGTCATCACAGAATAAAAAAGGAGCATGGCGGAGCGCCACGTGCTTTCCGATCACACAAACCGTCCTTTGTTGACGCGAAAGTCGCTCCCTCCTTTGGTGTCTCCGTTGCACACAGGGAATAAAGGATCTGTTGTGGAATGCTCGAAAGGGGTTGACGCTATACATCATTTTCATCAAACCGATGTGAACTGTAGTCCAGTTTATGTACCCGAATACAGCTCTGAAATTGGTGACTATTTTCTAGTTTCGGAGAGAAACCACTATCGAGATTCGAATTACATGGCAAATCAATCCGAGATAACCGAAAAAATGAGGATGATTCTCGTGGATTGGCTTGTTGATGTGGTGACGAAATTTAGACTTCATGCAGAAACCTATTACTTGGCCGTCGACATTGTGGATCGGTACCTTGGCGCTAAGGGAATTGGCAGGGCGAGGCTCCAACTGGTTGGTATTACTGCTATTCTTCTTTCTGCAAAGCACGAGGAAATATGGCCACCCGGAATAAAAGACTGCGTTTTTATCTGTGCAAACACCTATTCCGCACAGGAAGTATTCGAGATGGAGAGGGATATCGCAGTGACATTGCGGTTCAAGCTAACTGTTCCCACAACCTATCCATTGGCTTGTCGCTTTCTCGAATGTGGAGACAGTGAACCCATTATCCGTGATGCTACGTTTTTTTTCTTGGAGTGTGCCGCTCACAGCTATGAAATGCTACAACACCTGCCTTCTCGGGTGGCAGCAGCTTCTGTTTTGCTCGGTCGTTTACTCGTTGTGTGGAATAGCTGTATTGATCGCTCCGGTATTGTACCAAGCAAATTGTGGGGCCGCGACATGATGCGTGCTGGTCGCGGCATAACGCTTGATGAAATTCTTTCTGTGGCTGAAAAGCTTCTGAACTTCACAAGAAGCTTCTCTACACCTTTATCAAAGCTTCAGGCTACGCGGCGCAAGTATCTTTCGCAGAAGTATAATAGTGTAGCTTCATTAGATCTGCCTACACTTTCATTGATCTTTTTTTTTAGATGATAACTAGGTTGTTATCCCCCTTTTCACTAGATTTGTGCACATTCTCCTCTAGAAATGAGGCGGAGGGTTCGAATCTCTAGACAGGTTCCTTTTTTTCTCATGAGAATAACAGGATGCACCCTCTCAGTAAAGACCTCTCTAGTCTCGCTGGCATGGCCCCTCTATCCCTAGCTGGAAAATAAAGGAAACACTTGAAACAGTTAGGTGCCTGCTCTGTCATGCCTTTTTTCCTTTTTTTTGCGTCTTTTTTTTCTCTCACCAGGGTTTATTATTGGCAAGTGCATCATAAACATGAAGAACAGTGTGTCCCGCACTCAACCCATCCGCCGGTATGATAACTTTCCCCTAGAGAATAATCTTCCGCTGGCTATAGGCGCAAACTTTCACGACGATCCAATCTGTCGAGACACCTGCCGAAAAAGTCATACCTTGTTATTACCAAAGAAAGTGGATTACGCTCCCCACGCGGAATATGTTTACAACGGAGGTGGTTTGACTCGGGATGGTAAAACAAGGACCTGTTCCGCAGCTGACGATGAAGAAAGCGAGGACGAAAATGTATTTGATGGATGGCTTACTGCAAACTTTGATGCACCAAACGGTGGGAAGGACTACGTGGTTCAGTTCCTTGCGTATTTTGTTGAAAAGATTCCTGAGAGCCCAACTGAGACCACAATCGTAAGAAAGGTTTGCATTCGTTATTACACACAAGACAATAGCATCGCAGTCATTGAAGCAAAACAGGACAACAGTGGTATTGTGCAATCTATGATATTGTCGCGTCGACGAGTTCCCCGACGAATGGATGATGTAAATGAACTGATCACACTCGATGATCTTCAGATTGGGACATCCATTAAGTTGTTTAACAGAGAGTACCATATTCTTGATATGGATCAACGGAGCCGACAGTACTATGAAAAGGTTCGAGGTGAACAAGTTCCAGAGGGCTTGCCATGGCCATATGAAATAGACAAATTCGGCGCTGCTGCACAAGCTCGACTACTGAAGGGAACCCATCGATTGGCAACTTCCGAGGACATGGATAGAAAACGTGCTATTGAACAGCAACTGACTGGTATCTATACAAAACATGCCACTGAGGATATTCTTGCGGCCCAGAAATTTTTGAAACACAACATCAATGAGCACTTGACGTTTCTTGCATTATGGGATGACCGAGAAAATATAAGTGGAGATTTGCGTTTTTGTGTGATTCGCATTTACCTGGAGAATGATACAGTAGAGATTGTGGAAAGAAGGCCCGAAAATTCAGGACGTGATGGTGGTACAACCCTTTTGAACCGTCAGCGTGTTCCGCGTCCTGGAGTTGACATCCAAAAAACTCGGTTTCAAGAACACACGTTTGGCGTCATAATGAAACGGGACTTTCTTGTTGCGGAGGACATAAAGATCGGTGAAACTTACATCATCCATGGCAGACCGTATTTCATTTACGATGCAGATACTTTTTCACGTGAGTACTTGAAGAACGAATGTGGAATAGAACTTGCGCCTGCGTTGGATATTGATGTGTTTACCAAGAGCGGTTTGAAAGGCCCTGTAAAGTTCTATCCACCTCCGCCAAATGGTTTCGGCAGCGAGCGTGAAAAACGTGCCAGTTGGATTACTTTAACGGCAAAACCTCAACGACCAGACTTTGCCAAGTTGGAGAGGGAAGAAGGACGTGTAATGCGCTTTTTGGCGGTCCTTGCAAACCCACTGGTTCGTGGGGATGAAGAGAGAGAATTTGTTATTTTGTTTCATCGAGCAACCGATGAAGTGGAAATTTTCGAAAAACCGGGGCGGAACTCGGGCTTTATTGCTGGACGATTCCTTACGAAAGGTGTGTATGGGAAACTAGTAGAGGATGGCTCCACTGTTCCCTTCACACCTCAAGATTTTGAGGTGGGCAAGCAGGTCGTTATTTTGGAACGACCTTTTAAGCTTATTGCAATGGATGAAGAAACAAAGCGAATTCTGGAGAATAAGGAGAGTTCAACTACAGAAGGTCGACTGAAAGAATTGCTGCTTTTGTTTAAACAACAGATACAATTGAAGTTTCTTCGCGTTCACGAGGCATACTGTGTCCTCGCTCCTGAAGGTGTTCTTGGTTACCGCCAGGTTCGTGAGTTTTTGCGATCATGTAGTTGCGCAATAACCGAAGAGGAAGCCATTCTCCTCGTGCAGAACGTTGCTCCGTCCAGCAAAGGTGTCATCTCATTTGATGAATTCCTCAAAGTGGTGAATGTCACTTCCTCAGGACACATGGATGAGGCCTCCCTTACAGCGCGCTCCGTCAAGAGCGTCAACATGTCAAAAGATGACACCCTCAAGGCCACAGTATCAGAGGCAGAGAACCTTCAGCGGAGGAAGAGGCTAACAATTGAGTTGAGGCATAAGTTGACTCAGAGGCGAGGTACCACACAGGAACAGTTTCTTCTTTTAGGTTGTCACAGCTCTACATCACGACTAAACCGTGATGTTTTCCGGCGTTCACTCAATGAAGTCATGCACTTCAACATGTCCAAAAGTGATGAAGACATGTTGGTCTCAATCCTGTTTGACGGTCGTGAGGACGAGAATGGCGATATCACGTACAAACAGTTCCAAGAATTCACGGACCTCCATGGTCCCTTGTAGATCTCAAGATCGTACTATTTTGTTTTTAGAGGCATGTAAAGAAGTCCAACCTCGACGTGACGTTGCCAGTTTGGCGATATGTATTGGGAGGGGACGATGTTCCTGAATGAATGGAAAGTAGTACACGCAAACCAGGAAAACAAAAATGAATCACCTGCCCTTGTGTTGCCGTATGTCACGTGAATGAATAATGTACACCTTTGCAAACATTCCTCCATTCCTTTATATAAATAATTTTTTTTTCTTGTTTTGGAAATCTTTTGGAGATACTAGACAAGACAATGCGGAATGCACGTTGTTTCCTATTTGGAGCTGGTGGGACACAAGGTGGAGTCAAGAAGGTGACACATGGGGGCGCTATACCGTATCAGAAATGGCTTCTCACGGAAGGAGCTCGAGCTCTTTTGGCACCTGTGCATCACCCACTGGTGACAGAGTACTTTATTCGCCTAAACCAAAAGCGAGTGGAACTCGAAAAGTTACACGAACACGGAGAAGTGGATGCACTTCGTTTACTCAAAAACAAAGTGGATGGAAAACCCTTTGATCACATACAATGGAATATTCAATACCGAGATGAACTTGACGTTGCGGAGGAGATATCTGGGTACCTTGGCAAAATCAATGATAACATTATGCTGAGAGATCAGATTCGTTTGCAAGAAAAACCAAACAAGGAGGATCAGGATCTTTTACCGATGGTGGAGGATGATATAAAAGATCTCTTACACCAGATAGAGGGAATGGACAATCGCGTCAATGCTGTGATGGCGCGCCGTCTTGAGTCTGGCGATGCACTAGGGTCATCCAGTCGGACATGGATAATGGAAGTCACCGGTAAAGCGGGTGGCGAGGAGGCTTCTTTATTTGCTACGGAGTTGGCGGAGGTGTACAAAACATACGCAACTGAGCTTAAAGAATGGTGTGTTGGGTCTGTTGAGGATGGGAACGATGGTGAGGCCACTGCGTCGGGGGCTCCGGCAGTTGTTAGTACCGGACTAAAGTTTCAGGTGACGGGCGACGGTGTGTATCGCAACCTACGCCACGAGATTGGTGTTCACAAGGTGCAACGGGTTCCTGTTACAGATCAAGACGGTAAAATGCAAACTTCCACAGCTGTGGTGACGCTGATGCCGGTGCTTGACCCTGTTTCCGTGGATGTCCACGAGAGTGATTGTAAAATTGAGTTTGTGAGAGGTTCTGGTCCCGGTGGCCAGGGCATGCAAAGCAGCTCTAACGCAGTTTGTCTTACTCATAAGCCCTCTGGTATCTCTGTGAAGTGCCACCAGTCACGATCAGCCTTGGGTAACAAGGAGCTCGCGTTACAAACGGTCGCGCAGCAGCTGTTGGTGAGACGTATAAAAGACCAAAATTCTTCTCTGCACGAGGCGTGGAAAAATCAGTGGAGCAGTGGCGAACGATCAGACAAGATGCGTACATACAACTATCCCCAGAACCGAGTGACTGATCATCGACTTGGCAAGGACTTCCCCTTGACTACGTTTATGAGTGGTGGTGCTGGATTAATGAGTCTCCACGATGACCTAAATGCAGTGGACGACAGACAACAGTTAATTGCAGTTCTGCTTCGACACATAGAGGGTGAATTTGGCAGTGTGGTATGAGCTTGTTGAAGTGTTGACATTGTTCCACTGCTAGGTGTAGTGGATGCGCTGTGTGTTTGTGCTCTTGGTTGGTGTATATATATATATATATATATATGGAATAGTTCTTACACACATTCACGAATAATACCTGTTTTCTTGTTTCAGTTGTCTGATATTTCAACAAAATTACCCAAAACAATACCAAAAACGACGTGCAACTGTGTGACAGTGACAGCGGGGCCTACTGAGTAAAGAGGTAAAAAGGAAAGACAAATTTAAAAATGTCAGCTGAGACGGTGGAGACAAGGAAGAAAGAACTCCCTTCCTTCCTGAAGAAATGGCTTTCTGTTGTTGACTACATATCTGAAAGATTTTTGGGTGGCCCGTGTGTAGTCAAAGTTTCACACGTTATTAACGTGCAGAAGGGGGGCACATTGTTGGTGTGTCTCTTGATGATGAAAAACTCGGGTAACTACTCTGCAACAGCGACAACGTACACCGCCCTTCACGGTGGATACGGCCTCTGCTGGCTGTTAAAGGAGCTTATATTCCCCGACCCCAAATGGCAGAAGCACATCACACTGGGGAGTGCCATCGCCATCTTTACCTCCGTCCTTGGACCCTACTGGTACATTGCATACAACGCAATTATGAAAAATGCAGAGCGCTCTAACACATCGCTCAGCGTGGCCATCATTGTTTATGCAATCGGACTCTGTATGATGATGGGCAGTGACTGTCAAAAGTACTTTATGCTAAAAAAAGAAAAGGGCCTCATTACTGATGGTTTCTTTTCCCTTATCCGTCACCCCAACTACCTGGGAGAGATGATAATTTACGGTACATTTGCTTATGTGTCGAGGGATGCTCGCTCTTGGGGGGTGCTGGCATGGATATGGATCGGTTTATTTGTTCCTTTTATGATTCGCAAAGAGGCAAGCATGAGCCGCTACAAGGGCTGGAAGGCCTACACGACGCGCTCAGGTTTTCTGTTGCCTAAGATTTTTCCTTCAAAGGCGATCGCCAAGGATTCCTGCAGTTAAACTTGTACATCTGGAGAGTATATAATTACATTATTCTCTGTATTTGTTTGAACCAAGTGGTGCTTGGCGTGAGATGAGTCACTGGTGGGCTCTTGTTGCTGTTGTTTCACAAGACTTGCTACTTGCACCAACTGGTTTTTTTCCTTGTGTTCCTCTGTATGTATATATGTATCTGTATATATGTGTGTCTGTGCGTGTGCGTGTGTGTCTGTTTATGCACATCGATAGCAGACGTCTCAAGGAGTGACAAATTGTAATGAGTACATCGACCGTTTCCCCTAACGCGCAAGGTGCCGCAAAGAAATACCCGCCTCCTGACAACTCAAAGTCATACACTCATGTCCCTCGCCGAAAGATACCACCCAAAGGTTACATTGGCTGCATTCTGTCAAAGATACAAGTGGAGCTCGGGCTGAATGTGATGGAGCCGATGGAACAGGTTGGCATTGTAGCCATCTGCATCATTCTTGCGCTTATTCTGCTGGGCATTCCAAGTTATTTATTGTACTATTTGTACAATAGCTTTGCGGCGTAAATTGAGTTCGACTGGTGAATAGGAAATGATCTCTGAAATAGTGTGATGCACGTATGAGAAAACTCCATCTCTTTTTTAGGAATGACAGAAGCCCCTGTGCTGCTGGTCTCTGGCATTTCCGTATACCTCTACACCTTTTTGGGTTCTCCCCTTGTTATTGTGAATTCCTAGCGTCCTTGCTATTAGGTAGCTTCCCAGTTCAAAGGTGCACAACACAAGAAACCAAGACAAAGGAGAGGAGATTTAACTACATTTGAATCTACTGTTGACCCGGGCGGCATTCGTGTGTGTGTGTGCGCGCGCGAGGTTCTCACTCCGTGTTTCCTGTTCGTTCCAAACGTCGTCTGTTGTCGGTTTCTTGTTCTGGTTTACCTTGCCTGCGTGTGTGTGTGGGTGCTGGTCTATGAACTACCTTGCCTTGTAGTTTTTTTAATGCCGTATCACCCGATTGTGCGGAAGGACCTTGAAAAGTACCTTCCCAATTTTGATCCCACCGCTGACCCTCAAGTGGGCGAATGGGTGCTTGTCAGCCCACACCGCCGCGCTGCGATCGTGGACCCACTTATACATATGTCAATGCAACAGAAACTGCAGCCCATGTACCCCTTCCTCGATGAGGCATGCCTGACAGCTGCAGCACCCCCGGATGCGGTGCTGGACCCAACAGCAGGGTCAGCTGCTGCTCCCACGGACCCTTGCCGTGTATTCCCAACAATAGAAGAAGTACGCAAGAAGTACCGCCGTCACCGCCACCATGGATGCATGCCTGGTGACAGAGGCGGGAAGACAGGGACAGTGAATGAGAAACAGGAAGAGATGGAGGAGGAAGATGATGACACGATGCTGTACCTGAATCCACGAGCACTTCTTTTGACACCTTGTGCTCCAGCAGTTTTTGGCGGCTCCGACTTCATCGAGGGATTGGACAAAGACACCGGACGGGTGGTGTTCGTGCACTGGCGGACAGGTGAGGTACGCAGCGACACCGCAGCGTTGCAGCCGCGGCCAATACCCGAATGGGCGGAGGAGGTGGCGGAGAAGGCAATGGCTGAGTTTGAGTCGTGGCAGCGGCTTCAGATTGTCACTTCGTGTGCACAAAAAAAAGAAGAGGATGACAGTGACGCGCCACCGTTGCAGAGAGTGCGAATTCAATGATGATCTGCTCTTCAAAAGGATGAAGGCAGAAGTAATCCAAAAAAAAAAGGAAATGATGTTGACGACGCCAATTTTTTTTGTCATTGAAGGCTATGAATGGGAATGACAGGATATGATTGTTGTTGGCATGCTTCGCCGTGTGAGAAGCAGTGAGTGGACACATAAGTGAGGAGGGTTCAGGACCTCTGCCGGAGTTGCTTGGTCCGCTGTTTCTCCTGGTGTCTGTGTCTGTGTCTGTGTCTGTGTGTGCTTGTGTGTATGCAATAGGAGGATAAATGGAAGAAAGAGGTTTAGAGATTGATTATATCTGATCAGGGTGCGCTGCATAGTTCATCCTGTCGTGCTGCTTCAATTACCGTTGTTTCTGCCTTAGTGTGGCTCGTGATTTGGGGGGACGAGCGACACCGAGCTTGGCGAGAAGGAGCCAGCTGTTACAATTGGTTCACAAGGAAGAAAAAGGATATTAGTTGCATACGCACACACACACGAGTAACTTCAGTCGCCTTACGCTTCGCTAAGAACTGTGAGCGTCGAGAGGAGATGCGGTGCTCATTCCTTCGTTGTGCGCGCGCGGTCAAACCTATGCAGACCCTCACCCATTTAGAGATTTTTACACAGCTGCAGCTCGGCATCCACCCATCCCTGAGTACGCAGCGCCTCTTCATTCAGCAGCATTTTGAAGAGGAAATGGATCGCCGCGGCATCACAGAGGCGAAACTGCTAGCGATGGACGGGCGTCTTTGCACGCGTCTTCTTCGGCAGCTCCTGTTTGAGCGGTACCTTTCTGTTCCCTTCCGCCTTTTCACATTCGATTTGGAGTTTACAGGCCCACCTGTCTTTGGGCCGGAGGGCCCGACAGAAGACATCATTGAGTTCGGCTTCTACTCCCCTGCCCACGACAAGGTGTTTTCGTGCCTGGTGCAGCCCAGCAGCGGGCGCCGCATATTGCCGGAGGTGACGACCTTGACACACATCACACAGGACATGCTGGAGAAGAAGGGTCTGCCGTTTCCAGAGGCATGGTCAAAGGTGATGGAGTTTCTCATGACGCCAGAGCCGCAGGAGCTCCCTGATGCGGGGCAGCGGCTTCTTGTACTGAGCCACGGCGGGAAATTGGCGGATGTTTCCCTCATAAAGTGGACGCTGGAGTCGCATGGCTTGACGTTGCCATCCACACTGGTCTTCGGTGACACCTTCCACCTGATCCGTGATGCCCACCGTCGCCGTCCAGTGACACTGGACAAACACCCGCCTTCGTGGGGATTGGCGGATCTCGTGCAGTGGCTGAAGATACCACCAACACTACCCGCACACCGTGCCGGCAACGATGCAAAAATGACGTGGGATGCGCTGTACCACACGCTGGAGCGCTACGGTGATGAGGACCTCACCCCACGTGAGCAGCTCGTTTCACGCTTCTTTGACGTTGAGGCGAAAGAGGCAATGAAACGGGATGAGCACGGGCATCAAGCTGGCGCTGACGGCACACTGGTAGCGGACGGCGACGTCGCGGAGGCATCCATGAGTGCGTCGCTGGACCTCGATTTTGACGAGATCTTCACTCAGGAGAAGCGGAAAAAAACCGCCTCTGACGACTCTTCTTCACGGGCTGTGAAGGCACTGTCTGAGGACACATTGAATGAGGATGAAAGGAACGACAGACTTCGCGCGCATGGGGTGGAGGAACACGCCCCAGTGGCTGAGTTTGTGATTTGAGCTGCCGTCACGCGACAAGCACCACATCCTTGTGTATTTGTCTGCCCGTCTGATTTTTCCTCACTCGCTGTGAGTCTGCGTGTATGCTTTTGGCGCGGATTACACGTCTGAGGGGAGGATAGCGTCATGCGAGGGACGAAAAAAAATATGAAGGACGAGCAAAGTGGCGATAACATGCAAATACGCCACACACATTCCTTTTTGTGTGCGAGGATGAGTGCTTTGTGTGCTCTCTGCCCCTTCTTGCTTTGCTGCTTGTTTGCTGTTTGCGCTGTAGAGAGGGGAGGGACATCTCAGACACACACACACACACACACGGGAGATTGTGAGGGTTCCTCGAGTTTAAGTGCATTATATAGAATCTGCAGTAAAATACCCCCCAACAAAAAGAAACAAGAAAAAAAGCCAACGACAGAAGGTTCGTCTTCACTCAATCTCAGTAGCGAAGGTCGAATACACAAGCACAAACAAGAAAAGATCCACACGTACAACATGTCGTTCCGGGAATTGCGCTCCTTCGCGGAGACGATGCGGCTGCTGGGGTACCCTGGCCTCATTAGCATGGAATCATTTCGCAACCCGAACGTCGAGTTAGTGGCGGACAGCCTTTTCTGGCTTATCAAGCGTTACGAACCGTCTGCGGAGATCGTGTACGAGATTGAGCGGGAGGCTGACCGCGTCTTCTTCTTCAAGCAAATATGTGAGGTTGCCCTGGCGAAAGGGCGCATTAAGCTGAACATCAAGAAGCTCTACCAATCGGATGGGAATGCGGTGCAGGAGATGTTGATCCTCGCAAATGTTCTCAAGAAGGCCATGAACGCGACAGGGGCCGAGGAGCCTGACCATGCTGGCTTACAACAGATGGTTGCCCAAAAGAACGTGCAGGACGCCAAGCGGGTGCAGCAGCTGTGCAGTGACCTCACAGGCGACGGCAGCAACCTCTTTTTCCTCATTGAGGAGGAGATATCGCAGCGGTCAGAGCGGCAGCGTGTACTGTCACGTGCGACGGAGGTGGGGGAGTTTGAGCGGCGCCTCCGTGATGTCCTGTCAAGTGTGGGCAAGCAGGTGGAGCAGCTGCAGTCTACTATTGCCAACCTCGCCGCTGATGAGACAACATTGGAGCAGAAGATTGAGAGCAAAAAGACACAGCTAGAACGGGCGCAGAAACGGCTTAAATCTCTTATGGCTGTGCGCCCCGCCTTCATGGAGGAGTACGAAAAGCACGAAGGAGACCTGCAGTCACAATTCGTTGTCTACCTCGAACAGTACCGCAACTTGGAGTACCTGGAGCATGAACTGGCGAAGTTCAATGCTGCTGAAGATGCTCTACTAGAGGAGCATGAGACACGGCTGCGTGTCATGCGCGAGCGGCTACGCAAAGAGGAGCTCAACGCACTCCGCGGTGAGGCGAGCCGCAAGCGTGGAAGCCGTGGACGTGAAGCGGCTACCGATATGGCGCTGAGAGTGATGAGCAGGGAGAGAGACCACCACTTGGAAGATGATGATGATGATGATGATGATGACGGCGAGGATGACGATGATGGGCGCGGCGCACCTGCTCAAGCACGAGGCAGATCTGCCCATTTGCGGGTGCGCAATGCGATGGAGGAGGGCAGCAGCGTGAGCGAAACCAGTGAAGAAGACGTTGGCGAAAACAGGAGAAGGAGTGGTAATAATAACTCTCGCGGAGAGGAGCCGCCACGGCCGCAAGGGGCACTCGGACGCGCGCGACCATCGCCCTCCGCATCCGCCGATGCAAGAGCTCGGCGTGCACAAGCAGAGGGCAGAGGCAGCAGCAACAATTTTGGAAATGGCATGAACGGCGGCCACGAATCATCGGACAATGAAGAGGGATTGACGTCACACATGTCAGGCATGCGTAAGGCACGTGCCGCGGCGCCGAACACCTCATCGGGTTACGCTCCAATGTCTGCAGGGCGGGGCAGCGGTGTTGTTGTTGATGATGATGATGACGATGAGGAGGAGGAGAGTGAGACGGACGTGGATAGCGATTCTACCTCCGACATCGACACTTCTGACATCAGCACCGACGACGAAGAAGATGACGATGATGACGACAGCAGCATTTAGGAGTTTCATTGGTCGTCGCCTCTGTCAGTGCACCGCTGTCTCTTCCCATCCAGCAAGAGACAGCGGTGCCTTTGGATGTGTGGGTGTGAGTGACGAAAAGAAGAAAAAAAAATAGAGTTGCAGTGCGGCAGAATGCGGGATATGTGCCCTGGAAGAGATTGAAGTTGTGGGAAGGCACGATGTAAGTTGTGTAGCATTTTTCCCTTTGTTTTTATTTTTGTTCTCTTTTTCCTCTCTCCCCCCTGGGAGGGGCTCGCCTTCCCACTCCCAACCTCGTTTTGTTATGATCTCTGTGTCCCCGCCTTCCTTCTGCGATATCGTGTGGCATGACGAATTCGCGCTACGCACCGATGCGCACAACTCTCCAGTGCGCGTGCTGCTCCCTCTCTTTCTCTCTGTGTGTGTGTGTGGGTGTGCGTGCACGCGCGTGTTCGTGTGCTTTTGCGCGACGCCGTGCGGAGGGAGGGGGGAGATGAACTGTAGACGGCACATGCTCCCGGATCTCCGTGGGGAAGTGAGTGGGGGAAAAAGAGGGAGGGTGACCAAGCAAGAGAAGAAAAGAGGATGGAAGCAATACGGAAAAAAATATATCAAAGGAAACAAGAAAGAAAGAAAATGATCACGAAGGGATATGTGAGTACTGCTCGGACGGTAGATGCCCACTGACGGGGCGAGATGCGCTGAGAAGATGAAGAGCACAGAAGGGGTGGAGAGAGGGAGATGAGGTGTTGTGGCCTGCCAGGTATGCACACACGACATTTGAGGAGGAGGAGGAGTGACTGGAGTGTGTACCTGTGGGCGGTGCATCGACGGTGTGCCCATCTGTGCCTGCGCGTCACTGTGTGTGCGTGTGCTTCTTGATTTTTTCTCTTGTGAGCAACAACAACACAAGCAGCAGCAGCGGCGACGGCGGCGGGCGTGTGGATTTTCTTTTAAAAAAAAAAAAACAAACTCGAAGCGACTTACCTTTCCCACGCTGTGCAAACAAATAGGCTTAAAGGAACCCACGTACACATACACACCGAAAAGTAAGAAGGACGTGTATTAAGGAAAACAAGAAAAAAAAAGGGATGCAGAATCCATCAGCTTCTGAATGTGTGGCCACCTTCAAGCTCATCCTTGTCGGCGATGGCGGTACGGGCAAGACAACATTCGTGAAGCGTCACTTGACTGGCGAGTTTGAGAAGCGGTACGTGGCAACAGTGGGCGTTGATGTGCACCCGTTGACGTTCCACACGAACCGTGGCAAGATCTGCTTCAACTGTTGGGACACTGCGGGTCAGGAGAAGTTCGGCGGCCTTCGCGACGGGTACTACATCGAGGGACAGTGCGCTATCATCATGTTCGATGTGACGAGCCGCAACACGTACAAGAATGTCCCCAACTGGCACCGTGACATCACGCGCGTGTGCGACAACATCCCTATCGTTCTGGTAGGCAACAAAGTAGATTGCGCAGACCGTCAGGTGAAGGCGAAGATGATCACTTTCCATCGCAAGAAGGGCTTGCAATACTACGACATCTCCGCCAAGTCCAACTACAACTTCGAGAAGCCATTCCTGTGGCTGGCGAAGAAGCTGGCGAACGACCCTAACCTCACACTGGTGGAGGCGCCGATGCTCGACCCCAACGTGCAGCCGCTCTCGGCGGAACANAAGCTGGCGAACGACCCTAACCTCACACTGGTGGAGGCGCCGATGCTCGACCCCAACGTGCAGCCGCTCTCGGCGGAACAGCTGCAGGCCCTCCAGGAGGAGGCCCGTGCTGTCGAGAACGCGCCGTTGCCGATGGGCGACGACGAGTAAACGCATCCTTAAGTCATTAAGAAAAGATAGTGATCGGGATAGAATGATGATGATCAGACGATTATAGAGCGGAAAAAGGCAAAGAAACAATCGGACAAACAACAAGGAAAATATGAAAAGAAAAGGGGCAAAGAATATATATATATATATATATATAAGTATTGAATGGAGATGGGCGGTTTGTGTGCGTGTGTGCGTGCGGGCGTGTGCATGTGGTTCTGGATGTGCCTGTGGCGGTGAACAGCGAGAACCCGTGAAGGACCAAGGCAAAGGCTCTAACAGAGTCAAGGAGGAAAAAAAAATAAGGAGGGGGCTGGTATTGTTGCTGTTGTTGTTGTTGCCATTAATTGTGGTTAATAACTAGGATAGTGAAGGAGAGATTAAAGAAGGGGAACGAAAGAGGAAGTGGTGGCTTTGCGGGGTAATGGCGTTGTTTGTGTGCGCGTGTGCGACGTTTGCGTTTCCCCCACCCTTTTCTCACCGTCACACTCTTCACACTGGGGGCCTGCGTTGCTGCGCTCTTGGGGGGGGGGGGGAANCAGAGAAGGAGCGAGAGCGCTGCTTCTGTGCATCCCATTATATATATATATATATATATATATATGGCTTCCTCCTGTTCACACACACAGCGAAGGAGTGGGGAGAGACACATACATATTTCGTTCTGCCACACCTCCATCTGTCGCTTGCTTGCTTGCCTCTTTTCCTGCTGCTATCAACAACAGCAACACTACGCTCACATTCACTCACAAACACGTATTGCCCTACGAATTGTGGCCCGATCATCTCCGCCACACATGAAACAGGGCTCAGCACATCGCGAATACCCCTCTGCTGTTGTTGTCACAGACACCCACACACGTACGCACACGCACGTACGTGATGAACACCACACCGCTAAACAGAAACTGAACATAACGCTCCCCCCACGCGAGGGGCAGAGTAATAACGATGAATGGTGAATGATCATGTGATGTGGGATCGCACACTCAGTGCACACATTTCTTCCCCACCAGTCGGCGTGAGACACAAGACAAACACAAGAAGGGAAGACAAAAAAAAAACAAACAAACAAAATATGAAAGGAACAAATGTGCTCAGAGGCTTACTTAAGGGTGAAGCCTCCACCATGCACGTCATTCCCGCCGCGTCTCATTCTCATTTTTATTCCACCTTTGCTGTTGCTGCTGCCTTTGTTGTCGTGCTCTTTTTCTCTGTGGAGGTGGGGGTGTGTTTTTGTCCCATTTTCTTCCCTTTATCGTGTCTCAGTTGCAGGGTAATCCCCCCACGCTTGCCCACACACACGAAAAGAGAGATAGATAGAGAGAGAGATAGAGAGACAGAGGAGTCATAATGACAAGTGTGTCCCGTGGGGAGGAGGACAAGGCACCGCAGCAACGTGCTGCGTTACCAATAGAGCGCACCCACCAGAGGTTTCTTCTTCGTCAGCTACAGTTCACGCAGCAGTACGCTGCCATGTACCGTTGTAGAATGGAAGCACTGCAGCCGCGCGCACTTCGGGCAGTCCGGGCGAGAGTCACTGCTTCTACTGCCGGCAATCAAAATGGTGCAACTGCCAATGACTCTGCGCCACCATTCTCGCGCGTCTTGGAGCTTGCACCGGGGCAACGTGCACTCTGCGTCGGCGTGCTGTATAAGCATATGCGTTTGCTCCCCCGATTTCTGGATGAGTACCAGAAGGAGCTGGTCCGCATCGATGCTGGCGAAGACGACGAGGACGATCAAGTTGGGGGTGTGGCGAGTATCGCTTGCGATGCCCCGCTATCCGTGGGTGATGGCGATGCATTTACCTCCAACGAGGAAGGTGGTGAGGGCGGCGGCGGCGGTGGCGGCGAGTCGCGGCAGCAGCCGAACACATTATGCACCGCGGGTGACGAGTTGTTCTTGGAGGACATCAGCGGCCGCGTGCGGCTCGAAGGTGTCCCTGCGAACCTGTTTTGCACCGGCATCGTTCTGGGTGTTGAGGGCTCACTGCGCGAGAATGGTGTCCTCGCGGTGCACCGATACGCCATGACGGACGCGCGGGAGATGTACGTGCCGCGAACGTTGCGCAGCGTCTCTCGGCTGCCGCCGTGCTACGTGGCAGTGGTGTGCGGCCTCGCGCTTGGTTGCCCGCAGCAGGAGCAGCAGGACCCCGATGTGGCACGCGGCCGCACAATGGCAGAGCTGCTTGTTGACTACCTTAGCGGCAACGTTGGCGACGCTGCCGTAACGGCCCAAGCGGCACGCATCGCCCGCCTCGTGATCGCCGGTAACAGCATCGCCCCCACTGACGAGCTGCGACTGAAGAAAAAGGTGAAGCTGGACCCCTCCGATCATGTGCGGCTCGGCGACGACCGGCAGGGCGACGGCGTGGTCACGTCCGCGATGCTCATGCGCGAGTTAGACGCCGTCCTTGCCCGCATGGCCGACACGATTGAGATTGATCTCATGCCGGGGGACCAGGACATGTCAAACGCATTTCAGCCGCAGCAGCCGCTACACCCGCTGCTGCTGCCGGAGTCGTCACGCCGCTCCTCCCTCAAGCTGGTGACAAACCCACATGAGTTCAGCGTATTCCCCGGCGATGCCGACGACAACGGTATTAGCAATGACAATGGTAAACCACCAGGAACATCTGGTGTGAGTAAGACAAGAGAGGGTGGCACGACGTTCTTTGTTTCCTCCGGCAATGGCCTCAACGACGTTATTCGTGAGACGAGATACTCTAACCGCCTCGATGCCCTGTCGATGCTGCTGCACTGCGGCTGTGCCTGTCCGACAGCCCCCAACACGCTCTTCAGCTACCCGTTCAAGGAGACCGACCCGTTCGTCTTCACGCGCACCCCGCACTGCTGCATCTACTGCGACCAGCCAGAAATGCAGTCGCGCTGGGAGCCGCTCGCGCCATTTGTGCCAACCAGTGACGGCGCTGCGGACGAGGAGGAGGAGTTGTCAGCAGCAGCAGCAGCAGCCAAGGACGGGGCGGGGGTGCGGCTCATCTGTGTTCCACCATTTGCCAAGACGGGCGTATTGGTGCTGGTGGACGTAAATTCGCCACAGCTTGACACTACGGTCGTGAAATTTGTCTCCGCCTCGCATACAGTGGTGTGATGGAAGAGAGAGCACCGCCCAAGAAGTCAAAATCACGAAGGAAACTGCAAACAAAGAAGAAGAAAAAAAAGACTCTGTACACTGGCCGTGGCGTTGCGTGCAGCTAGTGAGCTCTCGCCCACTTGGAGAAGAGGGGAGAGAAGAGGGTACATCACATGGATGATGCGGTGCGAAGGGAGAATCACCGTGCGGCTGCCGTTATTATTATTGTTGTTGTTGCAATCAATCCTTTAAGTCTATGCTTCACCACTCTTATTCTTTCCTCGCTTTCTCCCGCATTTATTGTTGCATGGATTTACTGATTGTGAAAGGAAACAGCAGCAGAGCTCTGTGTGTGTGTGTGTGTGAGTGTGTGTGTAGGGAGGCGGCTGTTGGTTTTGTGATGTCGACGGAGGAGGACACGACGCCCGGCATCATCGTTCCGGGGCCGGAGCTGCGCGCCAAGATTGAGAAGTCCGCGGCAAGTCTGGCGAAGCGTGACAAACGCAAGGCGGAGGAGATGATGGCGAAAGTTCTCGCCAGCCAAAAACGGGAGGAATTTCTGTTCTTTGAGATAACACACGTATTCTACCCATTCTTCCTACAGAAACTGAACGAGTACCGTGCTCACCCGGAGCTGATACCCACAGAGGAGAAGAAAGACGCGTCCGACAAGGCAGTAACATCAACATCAGCAGAAACAGCAGCAGCAGCAACAACAACAACAACAACTGTGAAGGCTGATGGGGTTGTGCGGCGCGAAGGCGGCACGGCGGCGCGGCACGACCCGAAGCGTGACGAGGCGCTGCGGCAGGCGGAGGTGGAGGCGCAACGCTACTTGGAGGACCCGTTCCCCAACCGCTACTCCCTCGACCTCCTCCACGGCACCATTGACATGCCGGCGCTGGCGCTGAGCTACATGACGTGTGCCGCGCAGTACGTGGCAAAGTACGGGGAGCAGTTCCTACAGAACCTCCTCGGCAGGTACCGCAGCAACGCAGCGTTTCGCTTCCTCAACGCCGAGGACGTCCGATACGAGGTGTTCATGAAACTCGTTGAGTCTTACCGCCTCATCTTGCACCACGACCCCGACGAGGTGGAGGACCGGCTGGAACGCTGCCAATCCGCTCGCAGCGTCCTCGACACGGTGTGTGAGGAGAAGGTTAAGTACGCAAGGGCTGCCATCGCACGCCGCAAGGCCGCCTTGCTCACCGACGAGGCTCTGCGGGATAAACTTGAGTGGAACGTCTTCACCGTTGTCCAGCAGTTCTCGCTTAGCGATCTGGGGCTTGACGGGCCAATGCCGCAGTCCGCCGCTGCCCGCCGGCGTGCGCATCTTGACAGCAGCCACGACGCCAGCACCTCACCAGCTATTAACGGTAACGTCAATGACAACAACCACATCGAGAGCACGGTAGCAACGATGGATATGTACACCAACAGCAACACCAATGACATCAACACCACCACCACCACCACCACCACCACCAGCAGCAGCAGCAGCAGTGGCGTCGGTGGTCCCCCACGTATGCTGCGCCCACCAGAGGGCGTGGCAGGGCCGCCGACGTTCACGCCAGTGTTCATGAGCAGCCACCTCGTGACCTCTACTGATCCCACCGCTGCCCCTAGTCGCAGCAGAGAGGGATACGGTGGTGTGGGTGGAGGTCACTCTGCGCGTGGTGGTGCTGCTAGAACTCGTGGGACCGATCACTTTGGTGGCCCACGAGGTGGGCAGCATGCGCGGGCAGACGGATTAGGGCAGCAGGGGGACGACACCGCTTTTGCAGGTGACAAACACAGCCGCGCGGAGGCCGATGAGCCGGACCGGAATATACGGCACCGACGCGAAGAGGCGGATGCGGAAAACCGGCGATGAAAGAGGTGAATGAAATAAATTCAAGTGAGGAGGGGATTGCTGCAAGATTTTGGAGTAAAGGCTGTGATAAGTGGAAGGAAGATGGAAAGAGACATCCACACGTGTACGAAGGGCGAAGTATAACAATAACTTTGCCAAGTTGGGTGATAGAATACACCAGAAAATGCGCCTTCAACATGAAGCCCTCTTTCTACAAATTTTATTCTTTTTATTTTTATTTTGGCGAAAAGGTTCTTGCCGCTGGTGTTGCTGCGGCTCAAAATGGGCAAATACGCCATTGTCGTGATTGGCCCGGCCGGAAGCGGGAAGAGTACACTCTGCACCGTCGTGGCGGAGCACTACGCGACGAAGGGCCGCTCCACACACATCTGCAACTTCGACCCCGCCGCGGAGGAGCTGTCGTACAACCCATCCATTGACATTCGCGACCTCATCTCGCTGGAGGATGCGATGGAAGGGAAGGGCCTTGGCCCCAACGGCGGGTTGGTGTTCTGTATGGAGTACCTGCTGAGTCACGGGGAGGTGTGGCTCTCTGACCAGCTCGGCGACCACGTGGAGGACTTCATCATTGTTGATATGCCCGGGCAGGTGGAGGTCCTTTCGCATGTCTCCGCGGTGCCAGGCTTCACGCAGGTGCTGCAGCGCGCTGGCTTCAACGTTGTGGTGCTGTTCCTGCTTGACGCTCTGGCGGCCACGGCGGATGCGGGGAAGTTTATCTCCGGCTGCACCTTTGCCCTCTCCAGCATGGTCTGCTTTGACTGCCCCTTCTTGAATGTCCTCACAAAGTGCGACCTCCTCCCGCCGGCTATCAAGGAGGAGACACTGGAACACTACTGCGCGTGCGAGTTCGACCACCTCGACACGAAACCGCTGCCCGGGAGGTGGCGCGAAATGGTGCGCACAATGGCTTCTGTCATATCCGATTTTAACCTCGTCACGTTTCGTCCAATGGACGTCACCGACACGGCCTATGTGGACAACCTCTGCCAGCTCATCGACGAGGTACTGCAGGTGGCGGATGACGCGGAGGTGAACGATCGCGATATACCCAACGGCAACGAGGACGGTGAGAATGCGGAGGACACAATTGATTGGAAGCACTACTGAAAGAAAAGGGAGGAGAAGGAAGATGGGGCTTCGACAAAAAAAACAAAAAGGCGCGGTGTCGCTGCGGTTTTGTGTTGTTGTAGGCAGTGCCGCTCTAGCTGCGTGTGTGTGTGTCTGAGCATGAAGCGAGGGAGAGAGAGAGTGAAGAACAGGGGTGCGCGAGTGGGTGAGTGGGTGGTGAAGAGTGCTAAACAGGAAGACAGTCTCACTGGATTGGCTTCCCCGCGATGAAACAAAGAACGAAAGGAAGGAAGGAAGGAAACATCCTCTACTATCTTTCTCGTTGCCCCCACCCTTTTTTTCTGACACGTTTAGTCTTTACGGGCGTGTGGTATGCTGGGGGAAGGCATGGGTGCCTTTTCCCCTTTGGCTTGTGTTTCACAACAGCAAAGGGTAAACCTTTTTTGCTCTCCTCTTTCTCGCCTCTCTTTCTTGCCTGATTGTGGTGGCAGCACTTGTCCCTGCTGATTATTCCAGGGAAGAGTGAGTACAGAAGCGAGCGGAATGTGTTCTGCCCTGTTGCGCGGTCGCGCCGCACTCGCGTTGGCGTCGGTGCGATGGACGCCACCCGCCACATTGCCACCACGGCTGCAGCAGAGGCGGTGCTTTGCGATGCTGGCCGCCCCGACCCCCCTGCTGCGCTGCAGCTTTAGCTGGGAGGTGCCGCTCACCATTCCACAGCTGCGAGAGCGGCTGCGCTGTCAGCAACGGGACGACGCCCCACGCATGCAGACGATAGAAACGGAGTGCTGCCTCATTCTAACGCTTGCACGCAGCCCGCGTGCTGAGGAGCGGGCGGAGGCGCTCGAGTCTGGCGAGGCGCTGTGGGTGG